TTTTTTAAAAATTTCTCTTTTTCTGGAAAAAAAAAAAAAAAAAAAGCAGTAGGCTGTGTCATGCTAGCAGCAGCCTAAGGCATAAAGTATTCACTGAATCTCTTGACTTTATAATTTTCTTCTGTGCTTGATTAATCTTGTTTGACTTTGTTCATCATGGCCCTTCTAGTGGGACAAGATATTGAGGTGGAAGACAGTGATATTGATAATCCTGAGTCTGTATATGCCTAGGCTAGAGTGTGTGTATTTATGTCTTAGTTATTAATAAAAGAAGTTTAAAAATTTAAAAAGTGTAAAAATAGAAAAGAATGTATAGAATAAAGATCCTAAAGAAGGAAAGTATTTTCCTGTAGCTGAACAATATGTTTGTGTTTTCAGTAAAATGTTATCACAAAAGAGTCTAAAAGTTAAAGAAAATGTAAGAGTTTACAAGGTAAAAAAGTAAGCTAATATTAACTTGTGCTAGAAGAAAGAAAAAGAATTTTTAATAAATTTAGTGTAACCTAAATGTATAGTGTTAAAATCTATGGTAGTGTACAGTAATGTCCTAGTCCTTCAGATGTACTCATCACTCACTCACTGATTCACCAAGAGCAACTCCCAGTCCTGCAAGCTCCATTTATGTTAAGTGCCCTGATAGGTATAGCATTTTTATATTTTACACTACATTTTTAATGTACCGGTTCTGTGTTTAGAGACATTTTGATCTATTACAAATACTTTCTATCATGGTACAATTGCCTTTGATATTTGTACAGCAACATGCCAGACAGGTTTGTGCCTAGGAGCAATAGGCTATGCCATATAGCCTATGTGTGTAGTAGGTTGTACCACCTAGGACTGTGTGAACATACTCTGTGATGTTCACACAATGATGAAATCATCTAATGATACATTTCTCAGAATATATACCCTTCACCAGGCAATGCATGATTTTACTTTACTGTAAAGTAAACTTATTTTGGTGATTAAAAATGATACTCTTGGGTAGTCAGGTGATGTGGTGGTTAATTAAGATGACTGGGTCCCACAGGGCCTACTATGTGGTTCAAGTTCCAGATCAGGAGGCTTGAAAAATATGTGTACATGCATGCCCAAAATTCTGAGAGGAAAATGGAGGAGAAGAAATTGTCACATGACCATCTTCCCTCAGAGATGATTTTTCACTTTCTCTCTATCTCTCTCTGTGTCTCTCTCTGGTGAGAACATAGACCCTGTAGCAAATTTGTTTTTAAAAAGGCACCCTAAATTCTTCACTTAAACCAAATAGATTTTATTATTAATAAAACCTCTAATAAAGCCCCTAAAGCACAGGCAATGGTCACTAAAATAGACAATTGAGATTACATCAAGCTATAAAGCTTCCTCATAGCAAAGTAAACTATAACTAGAGTGAATAGACAACCCTTGGAATGGGTGAAAATATTTGTAAATTACTCCTCAAAGGATTGATATCTAAAGGGAACTCAGCAACTTGCTCATAAAAAGATAATCTAATTAAAAATGGACAAATGAATTAAATAGACAACTCTCCAAAGACGACTAATGAATGGCCAAAAGGCATATAAAAAATGTTTGAGGCCTCTTTTCATAAGGGAAATTCAAATTAAATAAGACAATGAGAGACCATTTAACCCCACTTAGAATGGCTAGGATCAAAAAATAGAATGAGAATGAGAAGTGTTGGTGAAGCTGTTACACTGTTGGTGAGAATGTAAATTAGTCCAGCCTCTGTGTAAAACAATATGGAGGTTTCCCAAAAACCTACAAATAGAACTTCTATATGACCTAGTAATCCCACTTCTTGGTATTTATCCAAAGGATAGGAAAATACTCAATCGGAAAGACACTTGCACATCCATGTATATTGCAGCATTACTTATAATTGCTAAAAACATGGAACCAATATAAGTATCCAGAATCTGATGTCTGGGTTGAAAAACTGGTACATATATGCAATGAAATATTACACAGCTATATAAAACAAAGATATCCTATAGTTTAACTCAAAGTGGATGACTACAGAAGACTTAATGTTGAGTGAAGTAAGATAGACTTTGAAAGATACACATTGTATATCCCCACTCAATTTGTATTGAGTCCTATGACAGAGGATGAGCGATCTGAAGATGTGATCATGGAGAAAATGGGTGTAAATGTAACAGGGGAGAGTGGTTGGTAGAGAGTGGATAGTGGCGGTTGGGTGTGAGATACAAGGGGAGGAAATATTTCACAGATGGAAAAATGCAAAGTTCTCTGTTGCATTAAATTTAAAAAAGGCACTCTAAACTCTTCACCTAAACCAAATAGATGTTATTATTAATAAAACTTTTGCATATATTTTTACTGACATCTCACAGCAACTCTATAAAGTAAATATTATTCATGTATTTTATAGAAGCAAGAACTGTGGTTCAGAAGCTGACTAAGGTAATACCTCTTGTGAGTGGCAGGTCTGGACTAGAAGCCCTGAGTGGCTCTAGATCATGAATTTCAGCCAGAAATGATTTTGTCCCCAGGAGGCATTTGACAATATCCAGAGACAGTTTTTGGTTGTGGAATGTGAGAGAGGTGCTGCGAATGTCTAGTGGGTTGAGGCCAGGGATGCTGCTAAACATTTCACAAGGCAAAGGACAGCTCCACTTTCTAGCCTAAAAGGTCAAGACTGCTGAGGTGGAGAAATCTGACAAGATGATGTTTTTAACCACCACTACTACCACTTCTTGTGGACATTTCTGAAGGTTAGTTTCTACCTCCCTTTCCCCCTAATTCTATCTGGCATTCCAGCTTTATTCATAGATTAGCCCATTTGCTTTGCTGGGTTGATAACAAGTGTAGAACCTAAAATTGGGCAAGTCCTCCAAGGTCCCCTCTTGCCTAAGAGGGTTGCATTCACCTAGGAGGTGGGCAGTCTCAAGCTGCTTCATTGCTTGGAGCCTACTGAGCCAGGCTCCACTTTGCTCTGAGAAAAAGCATCAGGCTGGTGGAGCAGTCTGTGAAGTTCTGAACCACGTGCTACTTAAGAAAAGACTTGGGGGGACCAGCAGTTGGCATAATAGCTATGTCGCTGGGCTCCCATGTAGTCAACTGTGGTTCCAGTCCCAGACCCGGTGGCTTAAACTCACGCTGGGCATCTGTGCATGCGTATCCAAGATCCCAAGAGGAGAATGGAGGAGAAGGGATTGCAGCGTGGCCATCCCCACTGTCTCTCTCTGTCTTTCTGGCGAGCGCATACGCCCTATGTCTTTCTGGCGAGCGCATCCCCCCATTAAAAAAAACCCCCCAAAAAAAAAAAAAAAAAAAACTGGGGAAAATGCAGTTTGAAGGTAACTGCCTAAGTTTTATCCCTTTTCCAAGAACCCTTGACAGATCTAGTAGATAAGGCTCTCTGCTCCAGGAACAAAGCAGGCACGAAGCAAGGCAACAACATTTTTCACATTTGCATTGATGACATTCATGCAATTTGGTCAGTGGTAAGATATTTTAAAAGCACTGCAAATTAACCTTTCCCTTAAAGGTATGAGTTTGTAGCCCTCTCCTCCTCTCTCATTTGGCCATGGGCAAGATGCCTAATGAACACAGCTCAGATCCATTAGAGAGGCTGGGCAGATGCTGGGTCCAGCATGAAGTCAATCTCCGAAGGCTTTTAGGAAGAGCTAGGAAATGGTGACAATAGAAGGGAGATACAGTCATGCCAAGACCATAATTGCATTAATGCTCTTTACTGCAGACTCCATTAATTCTGGATGTGGTCAAGACCTGGGATGTCAAGGGCATCCTCTGGAATTAAGTCTTCTAATGTGGCCATAACCATGACAGGTGGAGCTAAGTGCAACATCATTCATCCCTACAGTTTGGGAAATTTAATGCTGGGACTGTGGCCTTGGCCATGCTAGAGGAGGCAAAGTTGCAACAGTGCCTTAGCATTGAGTCAAGGAAACTTATCTTTGCATCCAAAGTTACCTGACTTCTCTGAATAACAAAAAATATCAAATACAATGACACAGAGTAGAAACTCAATACATAGATATGGCTTTTATTATTCTTAATCCAGTTTTGTAGAAGTTACAAGTTTGATCTGGAAAGAGAAATTATTAGAGTTTAGGATTGGGATTTGGAAAGCTGCATGCACCTCAGGCTTAGAACTGCTGCCTCTCAACTTCTTTTGCTGCTTACTCTCCAGGAGCTGAAAATCTGAGACCACTTCTGACCATGATCAGATATGAGACAATGACAGAGAACTGAACTGCCCAGTATGGTAGTTACTGGCCACATGGACTACTGAGAACTTGAAATATTCCTGATGTGAGTGAGAATCTGGATTTTAATCTTCATTTATATTTAAATTTATAAACTAATACTAGATTCATAAAACCATTAAAAGGCTTTGAAGCATCTTTTGAACAAGTTGGTATGTGAACTTCCTTTTTCAGCTGTGACTGTTATGAAATCTAAATGCAGATCTCAGTCTTAAACTGAGATGAACTGTAAATATAAAACATATACCAGCTTTAGAAGACTTGGTATAAAAGGAAATGTAAACTATCTTGTTAATAATTAAATTTGTGTTAATTACATTATTATATGTTAAACGGATTATATATTGAAATGTTTTGGACATACTGAGTTAAAGAAAATACATTATTAAGAGTAATTTTGGGTTGGATCTTTAGTACAGTGGTTAGGTACAGTATATAGGAAGGCTGATCCCACATGGCCAATCATTTAAATCGTGGCCTGGAAGTCTTGAGAAACACATCGGGTGTATGTGCATGTGTGTCCCAAATCCTGATGGGGTGAAGAAATAAAAAGAAGAGATTGTGGTAAGACTATGCCCCATTGGGGGAGGGTGCTTTTTCCCTCTTTCCATCACCCCCTCTCTCTGAGGGGTGCATGCATACTCTGAAAAAAAAAGGGTAATTTTATTTGTTCCTTTTTACTTTTAAAATGTGGCTAGTATAAAATGTAAAATTACATAAACTAGATATGTGGTAAGCATTATATTTCTATTGGCCAGCCCTGATGTAGACCTAGGCTGACTTTCACTCTAGAGCCCAGATCGCCTCCAATGTAGGTACAGTTTTTCCTGTAGTCCCACACTGGGATGGAGAGCTAGCACTTCTAGTGAATAAAGGATGTATTTCTGTTGATCCTGTCCCCCTGCATCTCTGTGTATGTATGTTCCTTGAGGGATGACTGAGTGGATATTAGTGGGTTTTGTTTGAATGGTCCTGGATCTCTCAATCAAATTCCATCTTATTTTTTCTTTTTAAGAATGATTTAATTTATTATTATTATTTAATTTGACCAGAGAGAGGCATAGATAAAGTGAGAAAGCAAGTCTGGGACTTGAATTGTAATCAGCTATGTGAGAGTCCAGCATCTTAATCATTATGCCACCTACCAGCACCTCAAATGCCATTTTCTTTTTTTTTTTTTTTTTTTGAGAGGTTTTTGTTATAGGGCATGTGTGCTTGCTCGAAAGACAGAGAGACAGAAAGCAAAAAATCACACCCCAGGGGGGATGGCCACGCCACAATCCCTTCTCCTCCATTCTCCTCTCAGGATCTTGGGCACACACGCACATGCATCCGGCGTGAGTTTTAAGCCACCGGGTTCAAGACTAGAACCACGGTCAACTACATGGGAGTTCAGCGACATAGCCATTATGCCAATTGCTGGTCTCTCAAATGCCATCTTAACATCAGCCTTTTAAAAGTTCCTTCATCCCTTTTAGCACATTGTCTCCTCTGTACTGAATGTACTTCTGATATTCCCATCCTATCTCTCAAATATATAACTCATTTAGTTTACTGCCTAGAGAGGAAAGGAGCTCTGTATCTTACTTGTCCAAAAGAACATCTCCTTCAAGCTCTAAGGGAAGCCTTCTCATTCAAGTACATCCAGATCTGGAGAGCTAATCTTTATGGAGTGTATGTAGCCCTTTGAAGACTTAGGGCTCAGCTCATTTTACTCCGGCCTTCTGAGCTGAAATGTCCACACAGGTCCAGAAAGCCCTGTTGAGGCCTTCACACCTAGTCACTCCCGACAAAATGAGTGGACAGGGAAGGCAGTAGGGGTTTCAGCAAGTCAAACAAAGCAGATGAGCCAGGCTTGTTTCCCAAGTCTAATTTGCACAAGGCTTTGTGATATTTAACCAAACGTGGAACGAGATTAGTATTTTCCCCACTTATCCCCAGGTCAGGACTGAAACATATTCATTGCCAAGCTCATTTCCTCCTCAGGATTATTAGCAACTGTTTCATTTGTTTATTAAAAAGCACTGGCGGTCCTAATTAAGTTCCTGTGTTTTTCATTTGCAGGAGAAAGATCCTTAGAGGTCACTAATGCAGTCATTGCATGTCCCAGCGGGGAAACACAAAGGCTAGAAGTAAAAGAGTGAGCACCTTTCAGTTGTGAAGCTGTGAGATTCTATGGTAAGTCTCTTGATTTAGCCAGAAAGGTGGCAAAATGTAGAAGGCACTGCATGTGATTTAGAAGTGGATATGGTTGGGCTGCAATCCCGGCTTGACCACTGACAGGTCATGTGTTTCTGACCAGAATGCCTTGATTCTCTAAGCTTCATTTTCAGCATCTGTAATTGGAACCCACAATATCTTCTTCCGGGATTTGTTTGCAAGGATGCATATAGTAATTGCTCAATAAATGGTAGCTCCAGGGGCCAGCAGATGGTGTGGTGGTTAAGGCAGTTGGATTTCCACATGGCCAACCACAGTTCGAGTCCTGGAACTGGTGGCTTAAAAATCGCACCAGGCATGTGTCCGTGTGTGCCCAAAATCCTGAGAGGAGAATGGAGAGGAAGTGAATGTGGCTTAGCCCTCCCCTTGGGGGTAATTTCTCACTTTCCTTCTCTCTGTGTCTCTCTGTCTCTCCCCTTTCTCAGTCAGTACACATACCCTAGGGCAAAAACCCAAAAATAAATTAATTAATCAAATAAATGGTAGCTCAGTCCTTTAAACTATCACAATTCCCAGAAAGTCTTGTGAGCGGTTGTCTTATGAGCGCCTAAGAAAAGGAAAATCTATGAACTCCCCTTATTTCTCATCATCTTGTGCTTACTTTGATGGATAATTATGGCAAATTCTTCCAGATTTCTCACACTTTTCTATTTCTCATGTCCTTAGTCAGGCAACTAAATCTAGTAATTCCTTGGCTTTTTGAGAGGAGGGGGATGCAGATCTCAAGTTCCGAGTTGATCAACAGCTATGTTTACTCTTGCTTTTGCCTCTTGTCCACATCAACTTTAGGCAAGAGGAAACAGACGTGACAGAGGTGCATTCAGGTGGGGCGACTTTAAGTCAATCAGATGGCCTGGCCTGTGAGGTCGAGTGGGTGTTAGCTCCCCGAGGTTTACTCAAAACTGGAAAATTTCTGTGCCTCGTACTCTGGACTGTGGTAGGAAAGATGTCACTTATCTGTAGCTTCAATGATGACTCTTTCAAGCAGTGTGGTTGAAAGAAGAAAATTTGATCATAAATTTAGTTTTAGATGTTCAACCATAAAATAACCAAATGATCCCTTACTGGGAAAGTTTAAGTTTATTTTAAGGTTCATTCTCAGTTGACAAGTGTCTTCATGAAGAGGATCTTCAGTATGGATAGGAGGCCCAAGTTCAATTCTGAGCTTTATAAGTGACAGTATTTGTGACCTTGGAGAAAGGTTGGTGTACATCCTAGAGACCTGGAAGGAAACTAGTGTTGATCCTTTACTCTGTACCCTGTTCAGTAGCAGGGACTTTATGCAGACTTCCTTCTTTTTAAAAATTTTATTATTATTAATTTTTTATTATTTAATTAAATTTTTATTATCATCATAATCTTGTTTATAATACATTGGATTGCATATAACTTTACAGTGTATTCTCCTCACAGTTGTGGGTTAACCAGCTTCCCCAATGACACAAAGATGGTAACTGGCCTAGGCAGGATGGGATTTGAACCTGCCTTCTTGTTTCTGAAGCACAGACATAGTTCCATACCTTGTGTTGCATGCATCTGCAGAAGGAAAAGTCTGGGAAGATCTAGACAAATAATTAGGGGGATTTGTGAGCTCAGGGGAGACTTAAAAGCACAGAGTCAAGGTAAGTTTAGAAGCACGTATATATTTGGAGTCCAGATTCAGTTACATGTCTCAGAAGCCCATGCACCAATGAGTTATGCCTATTTCTCACCCTCTGTTTCCTCATAGACAGTTAGCGGGCTCAGCCTCCAGCCCACGAGGACAGTAGAATTGGCAGCTGTTTCACGTGCTTTGTGCTAATGCCAGTCTCCTCTCTGATTAGTATTGGCCACACTTCTGTCATTGGTTCACATATATGTTCTTCTGTTCCTACATTCACCAAACTATTTTGTGTTTTGTGTTTGTTTTTGTTATGGGGTATGTGTACCCACTACACAGAGAGAGCGAGCAAGAGAAACAGAGAGATAGAGAGAGAGAGATAGAGAGAGAGAACCCCCCCCAGGAGGGATGGCCCCCTCTAATCTTGTCTCAAGATTTTTTTTTTTTTGAGAAGATTTTCGCTATAGGGCATGAGCGCTCACCAGACAGAGAGAGACAGAGAGACAGAAAGCAAGAAATCACCCCCCAGAAGGGATGGCCACGCCACAATCCCTTCTCCTCTATTCTCCTCTCAGGATCTTGGGCACGCACGCACACACGACCGGTGTTAGTTTTAAGCCACCTGGTCTGGGACGTGAACTGCAGTCGACTACGCGGGAGTCCAGCGACATAGCCATTATGCTAACTGCTGGTTCCTCATCTCAAGATTTTAAGCGCACACTCCCAGAGTGTTTTTCAAGTCACCAGGTCCGGAACTCAAACTGCTAAGTCAGGGATCTAGCTGGCTTCACCACCACATACTGGCTGGACCCATTCACCATATTTTTTTATCTCCATGTTATAGGCACTGGCCCACAAAGATGAGTAACCCATAGTGCAAGATCTCTTCCAGGTAAGTAGAAGGCAGATCCTCTGAACTCAATCCACTGTCCTTTCAAGGCCTCAGCACCTGAAGTTGTTCCAGTTGCTTTCTTGACCTTCAGCCCATGCCTTAAGGCTTGTCTTAACTCTTTTCTGTTGGTTTATTTAGTACCTGATATCTTGTAGATGCTCTAATATTTATATTCTATGAATATATCATTTTTTCCTAGATTTGGCTTCTTCTTCTGTTCCCAAAACCTGCTGCAGGGGCTAAAACTGAAGTGAGTTCATTCTTCCAAATCTGGGCCATTGGTCGGAAATAAGGGCATGACTGATAAGGGGGATAAGAAAACATGGAAATTGTAAAGTAATGGTCCACTGGGACAATTCCTAGGGAGATGGGCCATAGGAATGCAGTTCACCAAACTGGAGATCTCAAAACTCCACACAGATGACCTAAGATAAAGAGTACCATTTTGACCCTTCATGCCCTGGTAGGACTATGTACTAAGGTTAGGGGCATTTACTGAGATTGCTCATCCTTCAGTATGGGGCCAAGAACTGTAGAGAAGGACATCTGAAAGATGTCTTGTGAAGAATGATATTGAGATAAGGCTCCTAGTAATAATCTCAGACAGATACCAGCTGTTACATATCTTCTTTCTATTATTTATTTATTTACCGAAGAGGCAGGATAGCAGTTGTGAACATGAGTTTTAAAAAAATCTCGGGGGACCAGCAGTTAGCATAACTATGTCGCTGGACTCCCATGTAGTCGACTGTGGTTCGAGTCCTGGACCCGGTGACTGAAAACTCATGCCATGCGCGTGTGCGTGCATGCCCAAGATCCTGAGAGGAAAATGAAGGAGAAGGGATTGTGGTGTGGCCATCCCCCGGGGGGTGATTTCTTGCTTTCTGTCTCTCT